GTAGTAGTAGTAGTAGTAGTAGTAGTAGCAGTGGTAGTAGGAAGTAGTAGTAAGTAGGAATAGTAATAGTAGTAGTAGTAGTAGTAGTAGTAGTAATAATAGTAGTAGTAGTAGTAGCAGTGGTAGTAGTAGTAGTAGTAGTAGTAGTAGTAGTTGTTGTTGTTGTTGTACTAGTAGTAGTTGCTGTTGTAGTTGTAGTTGTAGTTGTAGTTGCAGTAGTAGTAGTTGTTGTTGTTATTATTCTTCGTGTTGTCCTTTGTGTCGTCATGGTCGTAGTTAGTAGTGGGAGCAATGACAACAGTAGTAAAAGTCGTGCTTGTAGTCGTGGCTGTGGTTTCGGTGGCGGTTGGCAGAATACGAAGAAGACCTCCTCCTCCTCCTCCTCCTACTACTACTACTACTACCACACTACCACACTACTACTACTACTACTACTACTACTACTACTACTACTACTACTACGGCTACTACTACTACTACTACTACTACTACTACTACTACTTCTAGTACTACTACTACTGCTACACTACTGCTACTACTACTACTACTACTACTACTACTACTTACACTACTAACGACGACGACGACGAAGGCGACGACGACTACAACTACTACCACAAGCTATACTACTAGCAGCATAGGACTACTAGTTGGGTGCGCCAGTAGTAAGTAGCAGGAGGAGTATCTGCAGCAGGTGTTTTTAGCATGCGTCTTGTAATTAGCACGCATGAGGCCGTCATCAGGATGATGACGGTTGTGGTTGTAACAGCGAAGGCGGCACATGATGATGCCGATGATGCGGGTGATGTTGGTGATGGTCATGATGATGACGATGATGGCATTGATGATGGTGAAGATGTGACGATGCTGAAGCTGGCTCTGTCTCTTCTTTCTCGTTGTCTTACCGGTACTACTACTGCTTCCCTGGCTCTCTGTATGTCTCTCTCTCCCTCTCTCTCTCTCTCTCGCTCTCTATTTATCTCTATCTACTAGATACGTAAGTGGAGTCCTAGGGATTTTCCAAACAGGGACTCACAAAGCACAGTTGTAGAACCCTTACGGACTCCTGAAAGGAACCCCTGTAAGACAATTCAAAGACCCCTTGAAAGAGACTTCCAAAGCCTTGAGAGTCTCCTCGCCCTTCTCGTTCTTCTGTCGAACGACGGTCATTCCCATCTTGGCCGCTTGTGCCTGGACCTGGCACGTAGAGGTCCGGTGCTCAAAAATGTCGGACGAAGGTTTAATTGGAGCTTAGGACTTAGAGGTTAGAGCTTTGAGTTCGGTGTGAGAATCAGGGCCTTGAATTCTGCTCCTCGCAAGTGGGGATTCAGGATTGAAGGTTCCATAACCGTGGTTGAAAGTTACTCCTTGACCAAGTCAAGAGCCAAGCGCCAAACCACGACAGAACAACACAAGGAGGCCTGCGCTTACATGTTCTGCTTAAGGTTTAGGGTTTAGGGTTTAGGGTTTCGACTCACACACTCGCAAATGCAGGCATGGAAATAAGTGTCCGAGCTTGCTACGTGGACATGCCGAGCTTGCGTAGCAGAGAGTTGTGTGACGTCGTCTCAAGCATGAACGACGGGTTTAGGGTTTAGGGCCAGCGACTCTGAGTCAGGGATTTGGGATTTGAGGCCTGGGCTTCTGAACTTACAGCCTTTGGTTTGGGGCTGCTAGGTGCTGAGCATGCTCTGTCTATTTGTGTTTATGCGCCCCTCCATCTGTGACGTCGAGTGTGCACATATCCTAGTCCTAGGTTTGTGCACTGCGGTTGGCATGCGTATGCCTGTACATTTGTCATGTACATGTGCTTGTTTTGGTCATCTCATGTACGTGCCTGTGTTGCATGGACAAGTAGATGTATACATGTGTATGTATATATACATACACACACACACATGTTCATGTGACTTATGTCGTGCAGGCCCATCCACGGCAGAAGCATGTGTCTACCCCATGAGCAAACATTATTATGCATATGGCAGCCACTCATCCCTTCTTCTTCTTCTTCCTGCGGGCGCTTGGACTCGAGGCCAAAGAAAACAGCTCGCCAGTGTCTGCAACTAATGCCCTAAGCCCAGAATCCGAAACGTCCTTGCCTTAACCTGCACCTTCAAGCCTCTCATCACACAAATGCCAGAACCGGGAGCTCTTGGATCACATGAGACTTGGGAACCGCCCTCAATCCAGACTGACAAGAAGACAATGTCAAGAAGACCTACTACCTTCATGCCAGCGATGCGAGCAGAAGAAAGAATTCCTTGACCCTGAACACCCAAAACCCTAGACTGTCTACTAGACACCAGAGTCCCCGAATCGAGAATCGGACGTATCTCATCTCGATGTTAGACAGATTGGCGGCCAAGGTCACGGCATCACCTGGCTTTGGTTCCTAAACCCTAAACCTTTGGGTTCAGGGTTTGAGGTTCCGGCCCTCACTCTCGCCGAGGTTCTTAGTGCTTCGTCGGTTGAGGTTGAAACATATTCGACGTTTACGGTTCAGGGTTTCAGTCAATTTCGGGTTTTTGGCTACACCGGGCTGCTGGACAACGAGGCCTGTTGCAAAAAGGTCAACTTCGGGTTCAGGTCAGTTTAGGGTTGGGATGTTCTTGCAGCATCCTGCCTCCCAGTATGGCTAGCCCACCACGTCTGCCCTCGTGTCGCTTGCCACATCTTGCGACTGTAGGTGCGGGGTTCACTCGCGGCTAAACCTACTTTTAGCAGACTTTATGGCGACAAAAACTCTGCTTCGCTGGAGATTTGGAAGCTGTTGCCTTAAATAAGCTGTCATAATTCGTAGGCGCAGGCATCAGTCATCAGTCCTACGAAAACTGAAGATGAGTGGCGCGTAAATAGATGCCCAATAAGCCAGATGCAGGAGGTGCCGCTGATCCGCCAAAGCCCGAAACCCACAACTCCCATGGATTAACAATCGGGCTCGCAAAGAGAGCGGCAATCTTATATACACAGATTCCCCTAGAAATCCTTGAATCCTAAACCTCAAACCGCATAGTATAGCCCTATTTTCTCTAAACCTTCTACCCTAACCCCTCGGACCCCACATCTCCATCAGCCCCACAACCCTAAACCCAACGTCCTATGAATGGGAACTACCCCCTGCATCCCCCCTGCACCCTCGTTCAGGGCGTCCAGCTGAGAGTTCAAGCCCGATGCGAAGGATCCAGTGTGGTGAACAACCAGGCGCTCGCCGGCGCCCCATTCTAAGCTTGCTTTTTCCGAGGCTTTCAAAAGCTGTTGGTGGGTCTTGAACGGGTTTCTGAGTGCTGCATGGGGTTATAGGCTACATATGTCGTTATGGCTATAGACGCTTAGGATGCTTTCGGCTTATAAGGGTAATTTGAAGCCTTTGGACTTTTGGATGATTTGGGCTTGGAGCTCAAGTCAGGGGCTTACGAGTACGAAGTTGCTGGTGTCTGAAAGGAGACTATGTCCAGCCTATATGGATAGTTTTCTGAACTAGGGTCCCTTTTAGGGTCCTGTATCTACAAAGGAAACCTAGTTTAGAGAACTACCCATATAGTGCGGCGTCTTTGCGCGAAGCCCAGCCCCTTCCAATGATCCTCTTCCTGCACAGTGGGTCTACTTCTACAGTATGTTGTGTCATATAAACCTCCGATTACGGCCAAACAGCCAGAGTCATGGTTGGCCTGACACAGAAACTTTGCTTCCGAAGTGTCTTTCGAAGACGGCCACGAGCGTCCGATCCAGTGCCAGCAGGTGTGCAACGGCCTTCTGCGCTTCCTCAGACCACAAGAGTGCTGCGCACCAGGGACAGGGCGTAGTACAACGGATAGTGTGAAGCAGGAACAATCAGTTTGAAGGCGAATCTCCGCACGGGATAGCAAAGAAGGCAACCGTCTGCTTGAGGACGTATCCGAGTACTGCAGAAGCCATAAAGACGAGGGAAAGAGTTCGGGCAGACTGTCAGGAGCAGCTTGGGCGTCAAGTCGAAGACTTCAATCGGAAGTAACTCTTGCAACAGAAACAACCACCCCACTTAGACGTCAGCAACGTGGCGTCTCGCGATCAAGGATCCCAGGCAATCACTACAGGGAACGATTAACCTAAACTCTAAACCCCCCTTTTTTCACAAGGGTCTCGACTGCTGCCCTTACTGCCCAGCTTGACCCACAAGACAGTACTAATGACTGTGATGCGAGACCGGCCACTTCGCTCTAAACCCCCCTAAACCCTAAACCCTAAACCCTAAATCCTAAACCCTAAATCCTAAACCCTAAACCCTAAACTATTCCCGCAAGGCCGCGGTGAAGCCCATGTCGTTGACCACAAGGCGACCCCCGGATCTCATCGTTTCGAACTTGTCGATCATGATCTAAGGGGTGTAAGGTTTTGTTTTTGTTTAAACTCCTTTTTCCGAAGCCCAAAGGTCCAGAAAGGCTAGGGTTTAGGGTTAGGGTTTAGGGTTTAGGGTTTAGGGTAGTGCAGCCAGGACTGGTTTAGGGCTTAGGGGTGTAGTCAGGGAGGCGCAGCGAAGGCAACACGACACAGCAGGCAATGAATAGTCTGGAGTTGAGATATAGCGAGTCCAGAACATAGCGAGAGCTGACCTCATTTCAGAAAGTTACCACACGAAGTTAGACTCGCAAGCTGTACCATGGATTCAGTAATCACCCCTTCCAACCCAGAGACGTCTGACGCACCTGAATCGGGACCTCTAAACCCTGAACCAGCCGTGGTGCGAACTTAAGACAAGCTCAAGATCTTTCGAACGTAGTCTCGTGGACAAACAAGGACCAATGGCTGTCATGGAATATGCTCAGCAGATTGCTTGAGAGGTTGGGGGTCTTGGTTTTAAGGACTGGAGGGCTCCGGGTCTGGATTAGGGCTCCCTAAACCCCTAAAAGCCCTAGACAAGGTTCAGGTCTTGGTCAAACTGGGGCGAGTGCTGGTCTTTGCGGTTTTCTTCCAGTGACTGCTGAGCCGGGTTTATGCAAAGATGGACCGGCGTTGCCGAGGATACTTAAAAATGCATAGTTAGATAGGTAGACAAGTAGACAGATAGCTAGATAGATAGACAGATAGACAGATAGCTACATAGCTAGCTAGAAAAACAGATAGATAGTTATATAGATACACAAAAAAGTTAAATGGATAGATCGATAGATATACAGAGAGACAGACAGACAAACAGATAGACAGATGGATAGACAGCCAGATAGATACACATATAGAAACATAGGTAGATACATAGACAAACATAAGATAGATAGATCGATCGATCGATAAATAGATAGCATAGATAGATAGATAGATAGATAGATAGATAGATAGATAGATAGATAGATAGAGAGATAGAGAGATAGAGAGGTAGATAGATAGATAGATAGATAGATAGATAGATAGATAGATCGATCGATAGATAGACAGATAGATATACAGATAGACAGATAGATCGATAGACATACAGAGAGATGGATAGATGGTTAGATAGACAGATAGATAGATAGATAGATCGACAGATTGACGGGTAGATGGACAGATAGATGGATAGATGGATAGATAGATAGATCGACAGATTGACGGGTAGATGGACAGATAGATGGATAGATGGATAGATAGATAGATAGCTACATAGACAGAGAGAGAGAGAGAGACAGATCGATACATTGATAGGCACATAGATGCATGGATAGATCGATCGAGAAATAGATAGATGGGTCCACACACGCACCTAAGTTACCACACGCTTTTCTGCAGGTTTTCCGGTTTGGAGGCTCTCGCACTCATTGCATTCTAGGCGCTTCAAGGACAAGACTTTACTTTGGAAAGGGGTTCGTGGGATGGCGGGTTGGAGGCGAGGGCCAATTTCGTTGTGGTGCCGCCAACTTTGTCTGAACAATGGGTTCTGAACCCACACCTGCCAGCAGAAGTCAAGACAGTGCTAGGGGTTTTGGGAAGCCAGGGTCTGAACCCATGCCTGCGAGCAAAAGTCAAGACAATGCATATGTGCCTCTGAGAATGACATTCAGGAGCTATGTAGAGAAAACATGCGACGCCCTAAATTTCAAGGCTACATGGCTCCTGAAAGTCATTTTCAAAGGCATATCTGCAGTGTCTTGCCTGTTGCGGGCAGGCGTGGGTTAAGAGCCCATTTCACACCATCGTGGCTTGCGGTAACTTACGAACGTGTGACCAAATAGGTAGATAGATAAACAGACATAGATAGATAGATAGATAGATAGATAGATAGGTAGATAGGTAGATAGGTAGATAGGTAGATAGGTAGATAGGTAGATAGGTAGATAGGTAGATAGGTGGGTAGATAGATAGGTGGGTAGATAGATAGCTAGATAGCTGGCAAGCTAGCTAGATAGATAGATCGATAGATAGGTAGATAGATAGATACAGATAGATAGATAGATAGATAGATAGATAGATAGATAGATACAGTGAGAGAGAGAGAGAGAGAGAGATAGATAGATGGATAGGTAGATAGACAGGTCAATACAGCTAGATAGATAGATTCAGCTAGATAGATACAGCTGGATAGATAGTTTTAAAGGTAGATAGGTAGATAGATAGATAGATAGATAGATAGATAGATACATCGATACATAGATAGATAGACAGGTAGGTCAGGTAGTTAGATAGATCGATCGATAGATAGATAGATAGATAGATAGACAGGTAGATAGATAGATACATAGACAGATACATAGACAGTTAGATTTACAGATAGACAGGCAGGCAGACCGACAGACAGATAGACAAATGGGTAGATTCGGGTAGATATTATCTATTTTGATCAACAGTCTTGACCCAGGGAATGAAGTTTGAAGGGGTAGCAACATGAGCAAGTTTCGGCAACCTCCACGACACATTCGGCTCGTTTATGGAGGATTGGCGACACTTCCGTCACGCTCGTTTGCACGAACGTTGAGCTTGCTGTTGCAGATAAACACTTCAAATTTCAGAAACTAAGTACTAAACACTCCGTTTCATAGCAACGGGCGTGCCAGCATCAGTAATTACCCGCAGCCCCGAACCCGGTTCTACCGGACGAGCGGCTCCCGAAAACGACTTCATGTTGTAGATCCTCATGCCTGCGAAGCACCACCGCAGGCTAGGGTACAAGCAATGCTCTGTCTACGGCTTGCGGTGTTCATGGATTTCATCCCAAGTTTGAATTGGTACAGCAAAATCCAGCGGTCACGGTGTCGAAAGACACTGAAGAACTGCGCACCTACAACCCTCAAACCCGAAAGCCCTTCTCACACTCAACCCTTGCAACCTCAATCCCTAAACGAATTGCCCCGGACCCTCGAACCTGCAATCCTGAGATAGGTAGTAGTATTATTAGGAATACCCCCTAAAGGGTACCCCGTCTGAGCCCTACTTTTGGCTCTCTTAAAAGGGACCTTACTGAGAGGGTCTATATCCCCAAGGGTCCCCCTAATCCGACTCCCGATGAAAAGAACCAAGACGAAGAGCTGACCAATAGATCCGATAAAATATCGACTATAGGGTTTAGGGTTTAGGGTTTAGGGTTTAGTAGTCCAAACCCTATACTTACTTCGCCAATAAGCCAGGGAAATAAAAGGTTAAACTTTCAGATTACTACTGAATTATAAGAGCCCAAAAAGTTTAAAGGTTGGGTATTGGGGAACTAAGTATATAAGCCCTAACTAATACCCTATACTCGAAAGCCTACACCCTCTTACCCCTCAACCCTCTAAACCTGAACCCTGAACTCGAAACCACCTATAAACCCTTACTCCAAGACACAACCAGGTTCCGGCATGATAGCTGATTCAAGGACCCCGGGGGCGCGCTCCAGGCTCTTGCTGTTACCTCAAATGCCACCAAACTGCTGCGGTTATAGTCTGGGTTTAGGGTTTTGGGTATTGTATGAGTGACGGCTACTTATCCGGTTTCTACAAAGGATCTATCAGGGTTCTTCCGGGTGTCGGTTTAGGGTTTAAAATGCGTAAAAATAGATGACGTTAAGCATTCTGCGCTCACATTCGTACGTGGGTTTGGGGTTGACATAGTTAAAAAATAGCAGGGCACCAAGCATAAGAAAGAGTCGATTGCCGGAACTTCACTGCAATGCGATCCCCATGAGCGTTCATACGAGGAGACACTACGCGGGCCAGTTCACATTGCCAACATGGCAAAACTTCGACCCCTGCTCGTGGGTCTCATGGGCCTCTGCCAGGGGCAGGTCCAGCGCGTGTCGGCGTCCATAGGACGCAAGTCTAAACTTCAACTCTAAACCCGAAACCCGGGAACAGAACACCTTTATTGCTACAAGGGGGCCTCAAAACTTTAGAGGGATCGTCAGGAGGAGACGAGGAGATTGGCAGGTCATGCGCGGGGCCCAGGGGAGCCCGCCTGAGCCCGACGTCCTCAGTAATCCCGGAAACAACTCTTATAATGTAGGGGCCTTAATAATTAGACTAGGGTTTTGGTGTATAATATACTCTAATAAGGAATGCCCCCCCAAATAATCTAGGTAATCATTATAAAGGCCTCTATATTCGACCCTGGTAGTCACCCTAATTGCCACCCCCATCATCAACCCCTTTGTGTATTCCTGCTGTGCTAGCCTACAGCAACCCTTCTGGTGAACCCTCACCTCAGTTCCAGGGAGACAGCAAGCAAATAGTTGGCAACACTCTCGCGATGACCACCGGAGGTCATTTTGTTCATTGCACAACAAGAGCAAAAGCCATTCGAAGCTGCCATCGAAGCATTGACATGAAGAGTCGGAGAGGCTGCAACTTGAGGAGTGATGTTCATGATGGCTACCATAAAGGTGAGAATGATGATGGTGATGATGATGATGACGATGACGCTGCATCACCTTCGCGACAAACCATCGATGTGATCACAAGCGCCATCCTTTTCACCACCAACATGACCAAGAGCCTGCCGATCATGGTGCTGGCTACTCTGTTGAAGCCTTGGGACGGGGTGGCATTCTTCCAAGCCCCGCCGGAGAGAGTGTGAAGAGGCCATACACCTCGAAATGATTTCAGTTGGAGGCATCGGCTTGGGCAAGCGCTTCATGATGATCAAAACCCAAGGTAGGGTACACAAGGCATCTCTTCCGTGCTCCGTGACGAAACTCCGTAATTACATGGCTCTTGAGTTGTTCCCCAAACTGTTCTTTGCACAATGGTGTTTTGCAAGCGCCAAGTCCCAGAGGTCCTGCTGTGTTCATTTGGAAACCGGGGGTTTGTGCATCCAAGCCCAGGGATTCATGTTGGATGCTTAACTGAAGTAATATAGGGGCCTCAATAATTAGAATAGGGTTTTGCGGTATATTATACCATAATAGTAATAAGGAACCCGATTAATAGCATGGGTAATTCTTAAGGCCCCTATAAGGGTTTTGGATCGAGCCGACCCGTAGAGGAGGCATTGCTAGAACCCCAGTGGTTTCCAACCACGCTTCCGTCGCCATTGCTCGCGGAAGTCCGACCTGGCACAGGCGTGCCAGATCTCAGCGCCACCGTGCCCGGCGGCGCGTTTGGTCCAAGAGGGCTTCGGGGACCGCTCCCTGGGCCAGGGACATTAGGCTGCTACAAGCCCACCATACGAGGCCAGTCTACCGCGAGCATATGGGTGGCAAGAGGGCGCAGCAGCGGCCATGGCACGTTCCGAATGGAGGAGGAAGTCAAGGCCAGCGAGGCAATTCTTGGGCCTACTGGTCCGGATCATGGTCGCCCAAGTTGCAGCAGCCCAAGGCAAAGTCACAGCCCCAGCGCTACGACCAGGTGCAGTTGGCAACGAGTGCGGCGGTGCCACCCAATGGCCAGAGTGGCACAGTGCATGCGCTTCCGGGACAAGACAGCCGGGAGTATCTCATGATGCAAGGGGTGCAAAAAGCACTCACTACCTCGAAGCGTTGCGACTCGAAGATCCGCAAGCTTCTCGAGACCAAGGACCTGAAGCAGCGCCAGTGGCAGCAGTGGAAACAACAGGCGATCGCCAATTTTGCTCGACAGAAGAAGCAGTTCGAGGTGGACCTGTCCAGCATAGACTCGGAGGTAAGTGCCTTAAAGGTCCAAGGCGAGGAGGCTGCACAGCTTATGACCGACATCATAACCAAGGGCCCCGCTGCCATGGACACCACCAGCACTGCCACGGTCGAAGACGAAGTTTTCGCGGAGCTCGTCGGTGTTGGCGACGATCCCCCGATGTTGGAGTTTATGCGCAAGGCCTACGCGGTTGCGCAGCTCGCCCAAGCGCGTCACGGCCATGGACAAGGCCCGACTACACCCCCAGGCCTCGCCTTGATGCCGACACAGATGATGGAGCAGCTTGTGGGCTGTCCTCCTGCATCGGTCCCTACCGGCCCAGCGGGCATAGTTCCAGATGCGGATGTCTCTTCTTTGTGGGACGGAACCAAGTCGAGATCACCCCCTGCAGCCACCGCTGTCGAGGGACCTGCCGCGCTGCCTACTGTAGCAGAGCATACCACGCTGTGTGTGGAAAACCGCGGGTATGCCGCCTCTTCACCCGGCCAGAGCCACATCCGCAGCGAGCCATATCCGTCTACATCGCCGCTACCTCATATGGCCCCCATGGGGGACAGGGCTGCGAAGTTGGATTTCCCGCCGCCTGTCGGCGAGCCAGGAACAGGAGGGCATGTCAAGCGCGAACCGGTCAAGGAAGCTACCAAGCACCCGCCGGTGCGCCCCGTGGCGCCCGGAGCCACACTACAGCAGAAGCTGGAGCAGAGGCGTGGACTCGTGGCAGGAACCGCGCTGCAGCCGTTTCGACAGACGATCGAGGTGGATGGCTCCAGCAAGCTTCCACGAGACATGGAGGCCGGCGAACCGCCTGGTACGAGCCTCGCCACATCCATCATCGACGACGACTCGGATCTAACACATGCGTCCCCTGGACTTGGCAGGCTCGATCAGTGAGACGTCAGCTTAGTCTGAGGTCGCAGCGGCAAGCATCGTGCTTCCATCGGGGACACAGGCTGAGAGGCTGTGATTGGTGTGCGGCTTCAATGGGGAAGCCCCTCACTATCCGGTTGCCTCCCGGTCAATGTACCTCCCTTGGAGTCTCGATCCGTGCAGGCTGTGGATCTCAGAGGTCTCACTATGATTTTCCGTGGACTTGTGTTGCGACCGGCCCCGGCCTTTTTCTCCTCGCCGGCCTCCCACCAGGCTCCTCTATTGGACTTTGCCCATGTGTTCCTACTTTGGACTTTCGCGGCCTCCGCGCCCAGTGGTTGTTGGATTTCTGCATTAGCGTTCCAGGCGGGCCCTCTCGCCTTGGCACCGTTAGTGCCTGCACCTTTTCATTTAGGCCTGGACAGCGGACCCTTTGGTGCCTCTGCTGTGCCCTCTTTGACTTTCCGCCCTGTATTGGGCAGCCCGAACTACCGTGCAATCGCGCCCTTTTTATTGGCTGCGTCGCGGATTCTTCACACGATGAAGATAGCCTTAAGCCCCTCGTGGGCAGCATGCAGGGATGGGTGCCAAACAGGCACATCGGTGGCTCAGGGGTGCTGACCCATTCCTTGCATGTGTTCTCTTCGACCGGTCGTCATGATCAGGCGCGTCCGGAGGCTCTGCCGTTTCTTGCAGGTCTCACGCGTTGGGTTGCCGAGTGGTTGTCCCTTTCTACTGCAGCCTGCTAGTTTGCCATCTCTTGTGCCTTATGCACCTCTGGCTGCGGGGCTGGCCTGCCCCGTCTTCCTCTTTGCACCGACTTTTGACAGGCCCCCTGAAGCCTTGCCCGCTAAGGTGCATGAAGTGCTATGCAATTGGCACACCGCGGCAGCCCGTTTTGCGTTGGTCTTCAGGCCGTGCCGCTAGATTCCGACATGCGCGCAAGACAGGTCGGTCGCCAGGTCGCTGTGTTGAAGCACTCCTATGGCTCCTTTTCGGGAGCTTACCTCAACCACTGTGGGCTGCGCCAGAAGGGTTACCGGCTATAGCAGCTATCAATGACCTCGCTGCGGGTGGAATCCTAGGTCCCCATAATCGAGCCCCTGAAGCTCTACCTGC